GAGAGAGAGAGACATATCTCTCTCTCTCTCTCTCTCTCTCTCTAAATACATGTATGTATGTATGTATGTATATATATATATATATACAATCCCAAAATAATTCTAAAGGTATTAAACAACTTAAGTACTAAGCTATCAAACAATAACAAAAAAAAATTGTCTTTACCATCCCTCCTACCTCGATGGAATGCTACCTCTCCAGTGCAGTCTTTTGGTAGTTTTGGTGCACACTTTTTGTGGACATTAAACTTACAATCTGCAAATGATGATAAACAAACAATAAATTTGTTGACATGTAATAACTATGCACTAAAATGTACACTAGTGTAATGGTGCTTTGGACCATGCTACATGTTATACCAAGATTAACACAGTTGATTTCAAACTAGTAGTATAATGAGATGAACCCCTTTTCAGTACCAAGGAAAGGTCAAAGGTTCATGCTTTGTACATGTGATGCCAGCAGAATGAGTAATTTCAAACTCAACATGGAACCTCTAAATTTCAGACTGAATGGCCATCTCTACGTCTTTATAGCTGCCAAATCAGAAAATCTGTCTACCCAATCTTGAAGTGGAAAATGGCTAATGGCTGAGGTTACCTTGGAGGTTAAGTTGTAGAAGTGCAGGAAAGATCAACACCATTGAGGTGAAGAGTGGGTGTGAGTAAGCAGGGAATCCTTCATCCTCTACCAGGAAGTGTGACAAGTGAAGATAACAACCCAAGTCTCATCCCACTTAAAGGGCAAGTACCAAACTCTCAAAATCAAAGACACATTACCATTAAAAGAAAGCTTCTAAATGCCATGTAGAGGCAAAGAAACAGAACAAAATTACCAGACCATCACTGGCCAATGATTTTTGCACCCAGAGGGGAAGATACATGTAGGGGTTCTTGGAACTCTATCTGGTGGCTTTCATTTCAATGTTTGTAATCAATCCACATCACAGAGTCTGACGTTTTACAAGCAGTAAAGCAACCCAATCAGATATGCTTTGATGATGTGGGAAACAGAGAGCATTGGTCAGGTTTTGTAGTCATGGCCTGACAGTCCAACACTAATGTGTTACATTTCACAAGTTAGCTTGTTTGTTGAACTGCATGTAGACCAAAAGCAGCTGATGAAGGTGATTTTCCCCAAAGACATGGGGATGGGAAAGACGATGTGTGGGTGGACTAACAGTTTCTTTGCTCCTTTCGACAGGAAAAGCTTCTCAAGGTTTCCAAAATCAATAATAACAGCTCAGGGCAAAGTCCTGAGTCATTGAAGAGTACACAACACACCCACCCAGGATACAGCACATTTATCAGTACAGGAGTGCTTCTAATGATGTGGCCTGGAGAGATTCCAGAGGGAGACCCTTATTTGCTAGGATGACAATTCACTCAAGAGGTCTCCCTCAGTACAGTATCATCGAGTCTACTGTTTGCATTTTGTAGTTATTTGTTTTTGTAAGCACTATTTCACAGACACATGTAATTGTGCCTTAAGTAGTAGAATCTTTCCCATGTAGGTAATAGGGATATGTGATAAGCTAAATCAATGGTTAGAATCATGTTCATTTTCAATTACTACTTACAATGATTCAAGGTAATGTGCTAAATGTGATTTAATTTTCAGTCATTTGATGGCAATAGAAGATAAACAAGACTGTCATCAGCATAATTTAGCACTTACAGATAGTGGAAACATTGAATAAAACCTACACTGACTTCAACATGGATGCAACCTGACCATTAATGTTTCACTGACCTCTGCACTGGAGACCTTGTCTGAAGAGCCCCTTTAGCAACTTCTTGCAGTACTGACAGATGGTGGGCTTGGTGTAGGTGTGGACCTGCATGCACAATTACACAGGCTCACACAACAGTCACAAGTAGTACTATATATTTGTAAAATCATTGTTATGTGGACAAAGCACAATCTTGGCATAACAGGCTAAGGTTAGTCATGATGCGTTTTATTTATTCATAGTAAGTCCAATTCCATGCATGTCATGTTCATATTTCTTCACCTATGTATACACATTGTACTAAACCTGGGTGTCAGCCTTTTTAGCTTTCGTCCGCTCCCCACATTCTGCTACTTGGCCAGTAGCGGATCGGGGGAGAGGACGAAAGCTAAGAAAGCTGACGCTCAGGCTACATTGTACTGCCATTTTAACATGATATCCCTGTGATGATTTAAGCCAGTGTGCACCTGTAGTGTATGTGGAACTCTGATTCTTCCTGCCACGGCTCTTTCTATCCATATGGGACGGCCACTCCAGGAGGTGGAACGCTTGTCACGTGGCCCGTACATCTTTTCATTCTACAGTAGAGATCAGCAAAGACAAAGAAAAAACATTATCTTCTTCAACAGCTGTAAGAATGACATTTCCATTACTTATTGGGTAAAACAGATAAAGTAACATTGAGTAAGAGGAAGCTTACTTAGTCCCTTATCCTTCTCCCTGCTACCTAAGCCTGTACCCAAGACAAATTTGGGGGAAAAGGATACTTCAGCTGGGAAAAGGTTAAAAAATTGTTTTTACTGCTTTACAGTATATCTACTGCAATCAGTATGCATTGCGTATATTCCATATTCCCATTGGAGGCAGCATGTTCAGTCAGTCAGCCTGTAGCTGCAAATAGATATTCCCACAAATTCCCTTCAATGCATATAAATTCCCCCAAAGATCTTTGCAACAAGTCCTATTTCCATGATCCTTTAGGGGAACTGCTATCATTGTAAATCAGGATCAGGTGTAAGTACCCTAACATATAAAACTAGGGTTGTTAACTTTCTCTGCTGAAATTTCATGTAACCACCTCTTTCGATGACCTTTGATATTACTTTCCATGCATGTTATGAATGTATCATATGTTTTTCGATGCTTGCTGCCAGCCAGCCATTAGATGGGAAAGTGGCAGGGCTCTTAAGCCCAGCTGAGTTATCCTCTGTATTCTACACATCTTCAGTGCCTTCTCGGGCAATAATTTCATATTTCCCTGAGTAGCTTCCTGGAAACCAGCCTAAAACCCCATAAGCTGCTCAAACATTTATTGGTCCAACACAAAAATATCTGTGAGCAAACTGCTTTGGTCTTCAAATTGCACATAGTTGCAATGAGATGACAGAAATTCACCTGCTATAAAATGAATCCAATTTTGTTAGTCCTTGACTGTTAAAAACTATCAAGTCTGGAATTGTGTCTTTGCTCCAATACTCTGACTGAACTACATATATTGTAACATGCAAAACTAGAACTTTTTAAACCATTACTGAAAATTATAAAGTTATAAAAATGTTTTCATTTGAAGGCAGACAGTGCTCTCACCTTTTCTCTACTTTTATTTTCTTTGCCATGGACCACATATAAAACTAGAGGTCAAGTCTCAAACTGAGTCCAACTCTCAGGAGTCCTTACCAAAGCATACAAGAGCTGTAGTTTGTAATGTTGACCACTTAGATGTGTTTTCTTTTCCTTTGAACAAGCTAAGATCCAAAGTGATCTCAAGTATGGAATATGCCTTTGACAATGAGTTTGGGGAAAGAAATTGTTGTAAAAATACTAAAATCACCCCATGCACCCCTCTTGTCCACAGACCTGACATAGCTCCAACAAACCCTGATCATCAGCAACCAACCACCTGTTTGATCAGAAAAAGGCCTCCAGCAGAATACCATCCTAGTACTTTATGGCAGAGACAGACTGCAGACCACACTCAATCTCAATTACTCATGTAGCATTGTGTATCAACTGAAAGTTAAAGTAATGATTACCTTTAAGGAAGAGATCAAAATATATAAATGTTTATACTCTTACAAGCCTTCATGAGTAGCCAATAGTACTGTGATAAGCATCCTACAGGACAGACACAGAAGGTATTTTGTAAACCTGAGGTAATAGGGAATAGGTGGTAATAATTATAGTAGTTAGCAGGTAGTCATGGCACACTCACGGTACAAACATACACTTAAGGTATATGTGTGTTTGTCCTTGGTCAACTCCCTAATAACTTCCCCCACACATCCCTTACATGTACATCTGGTCTACGTGACTACAACCATGCCACTATTGTCTTGCCTATAAGGGGTGGCTAACTTAGAAGCCCTGCTAAAAAGCCTTTGGACTTCTCAACATCAGCGAATCATTTCCTGATTCTTGCCTTTTGAGGGATGAAACAGTTCACATCTTAGGTTGTTGCTATGGACATGAATCAATATTACAACATCATCATCATCATCTGTCCGCTGAAATGCAGGGGACTGTGAGATTTTAACAGGACTTTTTCTTGTCCCTGATGTCTGATAAGTACATGTACATGCGTGTAGCAAAAACCTTTGGTGAAAAATTCAGTCCAGAGAATGATTTGCTAGGATGGATGGAGCAAACTGAAAGAAAATCAGGCATTTAAAACTATTAACTAAGAGTTATCAAATATATGTACTCATTTCTAGTGCTCAGTCCACAGATTAACACGTAACACTTAGCCACATCACGTGCATGTTCTAAATCTACACATTATTTTTTATAAAAAGCACCTAACCGCAGGGCAAAAGTGTAGCAACACGGGGAGGTGATTTTATAAACATGAGGCACAGTGCCTTAGGTTCACATCTGTTGCAGCTACTTCCTTCTCAGGTGCGGTGCTCTTACTTGGGATGTACAGATGAAAGCAGGTAAAGACTCAAGCATTTGCAGGGTTGAAATCTTGCACATGTTCCTTTCAGGATAAGCTTTATTGATGAATGGTAGGTAGGACAAAATGCATAAGACGGTTTGGCTGTTTGTCATCGCCACTACTCCACCCCACCGCCATCACCACCACAGAAGCTGTTGAACATACCTGTGAGGAGCCCACATTTTTGGGACTGGGTGATCGTGATCGACCAAATCTTGGTGAACGAGGAAACTTTGGTGAATTGGAAGGCTTAGGTGATTCTGGAGGCATCAGTTTGCCTTCACTGTCAATGCTCACAGGGAGACTGTAGGTGCTGTCTGCATCTTTCTGCAGCTGCCATGAAGATGAAATGGTTACATGGATGAGAGGGCCTAATCACCTGCCTTGAGCATGGAGCCTTTCTCTTCCCTATATGATCATTTCATTTATGTATAAACACGTACATACATGTATAACAAACCTCTTGGGATTTCAGTGGTATAAATGACATGCGTGTGGATGGATACAATATGTCATTGCATGTGATAACATAAGGTTCAAATTAATTTGGATCTACTTTAATCTAATTTTCAACAAAACTGGATCCTAGAGATGTACAGATTATGTAATTAAATATTTGCAAAGTCAAATAATGCTAATTGTGTCTTTATAATTAGTATCCATAATAATACATTATATATTTTCAACAAGGACTTAAAATCAGGTGTACTTTTAGAGTTTAATGCAGCTGCTGGATTGTATCGACAATGACGAATTAGAACGAATTAGGACTAACTATACAACATTGACATGTTGACTGGTGGACGCATAAAATGAACATAAGATACATAATCGTCTCAGCTCCATAGAAAATTCAACCAAAATTTTCAGGTATAAATACTATAATTTACATTCCAATTTGTATAATATCCTGCGCAGTTGCATTACAAAATCCAATAGCATTTGTAGAAAAAACGAAGAAAAAAACAGTGGACTGTATCAGCCCTAGAGATTCAATTCTACTCTGAAATGCATTTTAAATGCATCTGATGTGAAGCCCCTTGGTATGGAGGAGAAATGAGGATGCGTAGGTGGTTGAGCAATCACCCAGCCAGTGAAGTGCATCATCAATAAAGGAGTTTATCACTTTCTCCCTACTATTCAAGAAAGCTGAGAATCCTACAAGAGGCTAATTGCCTGTATGTTGATCAATGGTAATACAGAACTCAATCCACAAGATGTAAGATGGGACGCAAATGATGTCCTAACTAGGCCAGAGAAAATGAATGGTATTGTTATATTCGGATTATGGTAGAGACGACACTTTGTAATTGGCTATCATGTACAGCCAACCTGCACACGAGAGAATAGTGTAACTTGTATAGATGATGGCAGAGGAGACCAGGGGAGCCCAATTATGAAAAGCTACCCTAGGCCCTATATCTCCCATACCCACCCCCATGTATGATGATCATGTTTATCAAAATAATCTCTGTATATTCCATCAAGTTCTTTCATTTCTTTGAATGAGTAAGTGAACGGCTAGAGTCTATATTTGACATTCATCATGTTTTACATGAAGTTGTTTACAAAATCCTTCCAGGCTGTGTGGGTGGGAGGCAGTGGGGGAGACTTGGTTAGACAGGACAATTATCATGCTGCTGATTACTTACACAGCACTTCTAAGTCATTAGGAAGACAACGGAACTCCATTTCCGTGCACAGCATGACAGAAACTATCACGATGGATAGAACGTGAGCTTGTTTGAAGTCAGTGGGTGTTTGACTTTGAAGAGTATTCCCTCCCCTATATCACAGACCCAAGGAAAAGTAAGTCCCACCAGTACAGTACATATGATGTTTCTGCAGCAGTGGCATTCATTTTATATTAATCAACATACAGTCAGTATTTGTCATACAAGTATTTTCAATAACTCTCTTTCTGCTACAGGCTGCAACCTCTGAGCTAACACTTATGGGTTGCTTGACAAATTTCATGGATAGATCTTTTTACATTCTGTATGTTTTGTTGTCTTTTAAATCATACTTTTACATCATGCACCATATTCCAATTTTAAAAGAAAGAGTCACATAAATCCAATTTGCATGCAAAGGGGCCTTACTACTTACCTTCAAAACCATAACTGCCTGCACTAGATCAAATTTAAGTGTCTTAATACTGATGAAGAGTACATAAACAAAACAAGAAAAACAACTGACCACGATGGAATCACTGTCATCTGATGGTAATCTCATGGCCACGGATGATCTTCTTCGCCGGGTGTAGTTGCAGTTATTGGGGATCTTGTATGCACATCTTTTGTGGTAGTTTCCTCCACATCCTGGGAAGAAATAGAGAAAAAACTTGGAGTGTCAAACCTGACCAGTGTATTAACAACACCATTTTGGCACATAAAGAGCCTTTGGCATGCTGGAGATTCGTTTCATCTCATGTATCAGCATGATAGTAGCAACCAAAATTAATTCTGTGCAGGTGTCAAAATTCAGTGCATTGAACTGTACACTCCAAGTCCAAACTAATGATTTTACGGTTGACCACCCATGGATTAAGCAGGGGTTAGGGATGTGTTACTTTCTGAAGAGATTTACAACATTATTACAGAATGAAACACTCTGCTGACTCTCTCTCCTAATTTTCTTACAGATAGCGAAATGGACAGAATAACATATTCACACAAATAACAAGGAAACAATTCTGCAGGAGGCCCTTTCTGATCAAACAGGTGGTTGGTTACAGATGATCAGGGTTTGTTGGAGCTATTTCAGGTTGAAGAAATAATACGATAAGGCTTTTGACAAACCAAAATTGTTTTTCTGTACATCAAACAATAACAATGGATAAAAAATTTACTGGTTCTGTTTTAAAGAAACATTCCCTGTGATAATGAGGACTATTCAAGCCTCTTCCTGCTTTGGGTTCACCCAATTTGTAGTGATATAAGAAATCTAGTGTAGTGTAGTAGATGTACTTCATTGGGAGGAATCATCTTGACCTGCAAGGTAACATTTTTCTTGTTTGCATTAGTATCTACTACATGTCATAAAAGATCCCAACAGATCTCAACTTTCCAAGAAAGAGCATGTTTGCTAATAGTAAAGGAAGTTGTCTGGAGAACTGCAGCAGTTTGTTTTAACAAACTATAATGTGAAAGGCACAACTAGACCAGATGGTACACACCATCACACTTGAGTCCCTGCCTGATCAAACCAAACAACATCTGCCCACAGTAGTCACAGAAGGCAGGAGACCTGTAGGAGTGCACAAACAAGGCATGGGGCCTGATCTGGGTCTCCTCCTCAGTTGCAGATGCTGAAAAACAAACAAAATGGTGTCATTAGATACAAACCAAGATGAAACTCACGACTCCCTATCTGGATTTACTAAGTTGCCATTTCTTTTTTGCTTTGAGATTATTGGTAACAAATTGACTTGGTAGAGCATGCTTTTCATTAAAATAAAATCACAAATCCAACCCTCTCCCACTATCTTTACCATATAGAAGCCAGTTTGCTTAGCAGAGAATTTGAATTACATTCAGTTATGACAGGCAAAATGAATGGCTGTTATAAATGGAACTTATCAAGAAAGATGTTGTTCCTTTCACCTTTACAAAAGTGGATTTCCATTGATATTCCTGATTATAATATAAGCCTGAATCTAGAAAATATATCCATCATCTACAAGCGTCTGTGGCTTACAGTAAATATCATCAAAAGATTCAGTCTTTCTTTTTTTAGTAACTAGAGATGTTGCCCATTGTTGGATGGTGAGTATGCATAATCAAAAAGAAATCCTTGATTTTCAAACTATTAGGCACTATAGAAACTATTTCTATACCATTTGGGCTTATAATGAAATACAGTTCAGTTCTAAATGTATTATTAATACATCAATCAAAATTAGTCCATATATTTATGCTGGGATAGGATACAAGCCAAACTGGCATTTGCACTGATTTCATTACCACAAAAGGCCATTACACAAGAGCAGATTCACTGGTGCATTGTATTGCTATAAAACTATAAAACTTGTAGTGTTTTGAATATATTCATTATTTCTTCAAGTATATATTTCAGGGAGACTTACAGGAGAGGACAACTTCAATCAGGGCTCCCTCCATGATGTGTTCAGGAGATGACACCAGCTGTAAGATGTTATCACTGCTGTCGTCATGGCGAAACAACAGAATCTTGTCACTGAAACCATAGAAGCTCCACTCAGGAAACTGTAGGGAAAAAATGAATGGTAAAAACAAATTTTCCATGTACTACCATGATATGTCTGCATCAAAACTACATATTTGGACTGCTCAAAAGAAAACTGCATGACCATTTGTGAAAAGTTATTCAATTTGTTGGTCCAAAGATGATTGCTCAGGACTGACTGTTTCATAAAATTTTGATGGCTGGCTTTTTGATGGTAGCCAAATTGGCCACCTGACACATAGCCTGGAATGAATCATCCTATTCTAGCTTCTATCCCCTCCTATGTATGATCACTTCCCTACAGAATAGCCCGGCATTGTTTGACTTTTGAATTTGGTATTTGCCCGAAATATAAGAGAGAGCTTCAATTGGCAATATTGCACAAAACTGATTTAACAAAGATCAAAGTTTGTTCCCTGTGAAGCAATACTGAATATACAATTCAACTAAGGGACAAGTTTTCAACCAGCAAACCCCAAGTTTCATTATTTTTTCTGGCTGAAGTTAAATGTCAAGAATATGCTGTACAATACTGTAACAGTACAATGCCTTTATGTACAACGCAACCTACACATATATCTCGGTGCACTGTTAAACCCATAGTTAAAAACTAGAGTTCCCCAATGTCATTCCTTTGGCCAGCTGGGTGAAATGATGTTGTTAACCTTTACGACTGACAAATCCTGATTTGCATTATTTTATCAGTTGATCATATTCTACACCCAATAACAATCTTATCTTAACAACCCTGGCATGTCACAAGCTAACCTGGTCTCCCGAAAATAATTTCATCAGGTTGGTACTGGTAGGACATAGGGATTTTCTTCTTACACCTGGTCTACATGCTCCAAGCTTGATACATGCTCCAATGACCAAAGGTCATACGTTCCATATGAGATGATCTGAATGTCAAACAATTCATCTTCCAGACTAATCACATGTCTGCACCCTAACAAACTGACCTTCACAGAGGGAAATATTTCTTCTGGCCTATTATCCTTATAAATCAATAGATTATTCAACTCCTCATTACCAAGTGTATGTTTTAAATGACATGACCCTAAAGATACGAAATAATGCACATTTTAGTTTAGTTTTGTGCAATATGTCCAACAAGGCAAATAATTTCTACACACAACGGCAAGACACCAAATGCTTTTCCCAACAAATCTGCAATGTAATGTATGTTAATTGCCTGACATAATGGTCAGAGTTTCTGCTTAGGATTCAGCTCTTGACAGCAACACATTTAGAATTCTGAAAGGGAAGTCTTCTAACAAATTGCCAATGCTCGCTACAAGTGGGTATAAGGTGGCCATTTCATGCATGATCCTATATAGGGGCTGCTGTATATTCCATTTTATCAAAGCTTGGCAGATATTGCTCAGAGTCAGAGTCTGGTTTATATCTTTACTGGAACATCAGTATCACTATAAGAATATGTGAAAACTCCCCCAGCCCAACAGTTGTAAATAAATGGTAATATGCCCCTCCTGCAACTATATTGTACATATAGCCAATTTATCACACTGCCTTCCAGCTTTCTTTTAAAACCATTTATTATGGGTTCACCACACCACGAAGTGGTGGTGAACCCATATTGCTTTTTCTGATGTTTCTTCTCCTTCTCCTTCTCCTTCTTCTCCTGCCATTTTTTAAATGGATTCAGCTTCTTCATTTTAGGGCCTAAGGTCCTGAAATTTGGTATGGAGGTACAGTGGGCAAATACCCCTAGGCGTTTTTTAAATTTTTGTGATACAGGCTTTTAGAATGGTTTTATTTGAGTTTTTTGGCTGTGTTATAGCAAATGTATTACTGAGTTAGTGTGCAGTGTTACCACATTTGGGCATGACTCATCACAATGGAATGCAGGGCATCAACCAATAGGCATGCAGCTTTCCTCTATTCTCCTTGCTGATTGGCTGTTGGGATTTAACTTGATTAACACCTGCACAGAGCATTTCCACCTGCACAGAGCATTTCTTGCTGATTGGCTGTTGGGATTTAACTTGATTAACACCTGCACAGAGCATTTCCATACTGACAGTATGTCTTTATTCAAGTGTTTTGGTAGGTATTTCAAGCTTTTCTGCTCCAGCATTGGAATGCGGGGCATGAACGTTTTTTTTTTTGTGAAAATCAACAGTTTGCATTATGCAATTAAAAATCCTAACCAATAAAGTAGGGAATAGCTATCCAACTGTTGTTTTAGTTGTATGTTACTTCATATTATAGTTATATCAATGTAAATCATTGTTTTCCCTTGTGTTTCTCATTCTTTCCCTGCCATGTCGTAAAATGTGGTGAACCCATCGCTATATTTGCTCCAAAGCAAATATTGGCCTTTCTAGTTTTGCATATCTCTCCATCAAACTGCCCTTTCAATGATATTTTTCTTTATTTTGATATATTCACAGTAATGCTGATTTGTATGTATGTACATACTGAGATAATTTTGTAATTTTCTATGTAACTTTGAATTTCAAAACTTTGAATGAATAAAATATTAACACATTATATTCAGCAATAAGTTTAGTTTTTGTTGAATGGCATGTTCATGTCAAAAAAATCTTTTTCAATGTTGAAAAAATTGAACTATGAACATCACATTCACATGTACCACATTTTCAGTACCATGGACAACACATTACATGTAGTCTTCACAGTCTGACTATATCATTATCTGACTAACACCAAGCAAGAAATCTAACCTAGATTAAAAATTGTGGGCTATCTCTCAGACATGACTTCTATTACCAGGGTAATTCGGGGGATTCCAAAAATAAGCTATTCCATAACATGTATTTTTATTGTCTGGTCTCAAAAGGGATGGCCTGTCAACTGAAATGTCTCAGTAGCCCATCTGCCTTTGGATCTGTTCTTTGATTAGTCTTGCATATCATTTAGACTGGCTTTAGAGCAAGCATCAGTAATTGCATCAATTATCTCTCTCAAGGCAAGACTCCCTAAAATATCCAAAAGGACAGGCTTGTAACATGTAGTCTTATATTGAATGTGTATGAAATAGTCACAATTATAACTGGTTCTAGGACATTTAATAAAAGTATAAAAATCTACTACCAAGGATCTTGATGTGACCAGAATGAACCGTGACAGTTTCTAGGAGCAAATCTGAAGTTTGATTATCTGAAACTGACAGGCATGTTCTTCATAATTTCATGCACGGCTGATTTTCTATAATTACAATCTTAATTCCCTGATTATACTCTAAACAAGCGAGAGTACATTAAGTTATAATTTTGATGGAGCAGGATAGTGTAATCAATATTCTTTCTTCAATGTGATAGCCAACAAAACTACTGTCATGCTATCAATTTCTATATAATTATGACTTGCCAAAGTCAGACAAAAAGCAACTACAAATTTTACACATGTAAGTCCTATGAGGTATGATATCTTGCTCAGCATTTCCAGATTCTTCTTGTGCAATAAAGAGGCATCTGATTGGTGTCTCCTACAGCTGTGGACAAAGATATCCTCCTGACATGTGTGTTCCCCAAAGGGAACGTAACCAACAAGTACTACTGCAGCTTTGATCAATAATTGGCTCATGCTAGGCAATTATCTCAGGATGCACCCAAGTGATGAAAAATGGCAGGATCAAAGGACTTGTCATTGCTGTCAGCTTATTTTATCAGCTGCAGGTGAAAGAATATTTTTGACCAAACATTTCAAAAGAACTTAACGTAAACTATGTAACACTGCACAGACTTCAAATGCATCAGGTGCTTTAGTGTGATGATAAATGACATTGCTCTGGTACTATACTAAGGCCTGTATATTTTGCTGTAGCAAAATTGTAACATGTAGATAACTTTGTCCAAGTCCAAACATTTCCAGTCAATTATTACAGTAAGCATCCATCTGAGGATCAGCTTGGTTCAATGTTTCTGGATCTTAATGTATTGTGTATACAGACACAAGCCTTGACCCCTTTTGTCAGGAATTCCTAGTACAAATTACCCTGTCATTTCACAAGCTCAGCAAACATTTCAAGCTGTTTTCCACTGTTATAACACCAACATCATGATGAAACCAATCAATTATATAAAATTCTTGTAAACACAATTGTAAGCAATCTGAATTGTTTCAGACTGCTTACCTATACTATATACTGTACCCACATATGTACAATTGTATATCAAACAAATCAATTTCTGTAGCGTTTCAACAGATAACAAAGACAAAATATGTAATTCTTGCCCTCGTAAAAGCATAATGCAGACTGATTTTTAGTTGAACCACTTTATCATTTTATTTATTGGTTTATTTCTTGGTTCACTTTTATAAACTATAGGATAAGCAGAGTTCATGTTACACATCATAAAAAATGCATTAACTTTCTATCACTCAGATTCCTCAAAGTTGATCCAAGATTGACGATAAATCAATCTGTTAGAATTTTCTCCCTCCTTCCAATAACTTTAATGTCCTCAATAGATCTCCCTCTGATGTTCTGTGCCAGTGGAGATGACACCTCAACGGACTTAATGAAGCAGGATCATGGAAAAAGGGGTGTGAAAACTCTTCTCACATCCCCACTTGTACAAATGTAGCTTGTATATCTTGGTACAGATTACCCTCTTAACCTTGTGCCTCAAAGTGCTGGTATATGTGTATGTGAGACATTCTTAAGTTATTTCTCCATGAAATATTTTTGTAATATCTAGTAATAGTACTAGTAGCACCTTTTGTAATCTTTTTATTTCATTTGTCTCATTGATTATGGAACTATATTATGATTTGTATAATCTATTTTGATATATGTTTTCTCAACATAATAAAGAAGATGGTGCCTGTGTGATTTGAGATTTGATATGAGTCTTTTATGACAGTGTGCATGCGCAGTGTAGAAAATGCATTTCACAAGTATGTCATTGACTAGCCCAGTAGACATGGAACTGTGCCATGGATGTTTATTACACTTTAAAGGGTTTCAGCATCATCCCTAACATATTTTGTGGGGAATCACTGCATATACATACTTTTTAGGCAAGGC